GAGTGTGTGAATTACGAAATCTTGTAACAGAATTAAGAGCTTGGATTCTGGGTTTCGTAGATGACTCAACCCATAAGATCTTTGGAAATGCGATTCATTATCCAAGACATGACAATGGTGTTACAATGATCCCACTACTATGCCTAATCAGATCAAGAGGTCACAAGAGTACTGTTCCATCGATAAACCCTTGTTTTTTGCAAGGAGTGCGATTTTCATCACTCGGCTCCTAAGATTGTAATTGTCACTGCCTATTAAAACTTGGCTAATGATTTGGCTCCCCAACGTGTCGAAGGGGTGCATGTACAATAGATCGCTGTAATCTACAGCCCTAGACACAACGTGAAGATTCTCTGAGGTGTTTGACGACATTGTTGAAAACAAAACGATCTTCAAAAAAGATTGAGAAGAATTTGAGTCAACTATAAGTGATCTTAAATGAAATTTGAGCTAATTGAGTCTTGACTTTGGAAAAACAAAATGTTTACAGAATTTGGATTGAATAGAACCCAAGATCAATATTCTGATACCATGTCGATACCATGTTAGAAGCTGCGAGACAGAGAATATGAACTGGGAAATTTTATTCAATCAACTCTACTATTTTTTTTTTTTTTTTACAACTATTTAAATTCTCTTAAATAACTAATTACAATATCTAATCCAATTAAAATATGACACTTGGATTTGGATAAGCAATAGAATAATGTCGCAGCAACCAAATCTAATAGTCTTGCTAATATTTTATAAAACCAAATAGGAGATAATAGATGATAACCTTAAAATTTATACATTGCCATTTCTAAAGTTTTTAAAAAAATAAAAAAATAAAAAATTTGAAACCTTATTGGTAGGAGGTCTAAGAGTACTCGCCAAAAAAACAAAAAAAACGCAAATAGCTGAATCTATTCTAGTTCAACTAATCCTTAAAAAATACCAATGAAATTATCCTATTTTGGGTAATAAGTATTTTGCTATTCTTGTTTAATGTCATGTGTTAAACCAACGAGTACTTATAAAAAAAAGATAGAAGATTCTGAGCTATAAGAATCAACTTGTGTGAGATGAAATTTATGAGTTGGAATATAATAAAAAATAATAATAAAAGGGTCAAGTATTAGCTAATTCGTGGTCAACATTCAAAGGTTGTGATGGAACGGTTGCTCCATCTGTTTGACACGAATTTCAGATTCTATGATTCAGTATTCTTTTGTCAACAAAGTGGCGTGCAGTAATTAATATATGCCATATAATTCATCCATGCTTGAACCACTCTATTCAACTGTCAACAAATACTGCACTTCTAAATGACAATTAATTAATTGAAAAGCTAACACCTTTATAATTAATTTATATATACAATTACAAAACACCATGTGATTAAATTGACGTCTCTTTCTTAATTTCTCCTTGCGTAAGACGAAAGTAATAGATGCAGGTGAGATCATTTTTCCTTCTTATTGCTTCCCGTTGAAATTGCATCTTATTTTTAGTTTGTTTCGTGAGACTTCAAACAACCTAGCTTAAAACAACATGTAATTATCAACCTTGAAATTTCTTTTTCTTTTTTTATTAGTATTTTAATAGTTTACAATATTTTGAAGTTTATTTATCATTATATAGCTTTCTACGATTACTATGGATAAGAAACAAAAGTATATAACATTAATAAATAGGGTAGGAAAGTTATAATATACTCGTCACCAATGTTCTGAAAACCGGACCGGACAATGACCCGTTCAAGGGTCCGGTTTCCGGTTTAACCAGTTGGATCGGTCGGTTGGACTGTAATTTGTAAAATTCTTTTAGTCCTTAAAGATTTGAAATTCATCAAAAACACCCCTTAATACTCCCTTAAGGTTTGAAATCTATCTAAAACACCCCTGTCACACGAAGATTCTGGTGAATGGTGGCGACAACGACGATCGACGGCCAATCGAAGCTGGAATCTTGGGGCTTTTGATATGTAGGTTCTAGCGACTCTGATGGTGGTGCTAGGGAGTTCCATCGGTGTCGGAACTCGCCGGAATCAACAAAAGAAATTTGACGTCGCGTGAACTTTAGGTGGACGGCGATCGACGTAGGCTGGGCAATGACAACTAAAAATGGATGGGTTTGGTCGTGGAGATGCCGTCCGTCGAATGGGGGTGTTTTCTCCATCGAAAGATTCCGGAATCCGGCAGGGTTTAGCTGCGATTGGACCGCGATTCAGCACTATTTCGGCAGTCCAATCGCGGTCCAATCCGGTTTAAATCAAAATAGTAGGTTTTTATATATACCGGTCTGGATTTGCCGCCGGTTGCCGGTCGAACTGGTCCGATCGGACGGTCCGGTTTGGTTTTCAGAACATTGCTCGTCACTACATATTTATAGACACTCAACAGTTTTTTTTTTTTTTATTTGGGTGACTAGGGATGTCCGAACCAGTTTATGCTTATCTCAACAAATCTCCTAGGACCCTGAAGTTGATAGCCGAGTAAATCTCCTCAATGGTCAACTCTATTAATAACTCAAATAGATCGAACTTAAGACCCTTTAAGTAATATACACAAGAGTCTTAATTGACTGCTGGTCACCCAGTGGTGGTTTTCTTTCTTTCTTTCCAACGCTTACAAATAAAATTAACAACTTAAAAAAAAAAAATTATCTTCAATATTTTTAGTTGTAAAAACAATTTTATGATATGGGTTGTTGGATATTTAAATTTAAGATACGACAAATAAAAGAAGTCTCAAACCAAATGTAGTATGGTCCATGAGGCGTCGACAGCAGTTACATAGCTATCTCCATCAGCTAATGAATAATTTTCTTCTTTCTTTAGTTTCTTGATGAAACATCTAACCTAATTGGTCAACTAAGCCAATAAACAGCAGCTATCAATCAAAATAAAATGGCGCTATTGTAAAAGATGACCAGATTCATGATATTTGTTTCTTTACTTAGCTGGTTTCTGCCTAGCGGATATAGCAAGTTGATAAAAGAGACTTGAACCTTGCAACTTGTTGGAACAAGGCACATACACAGCAGGTTCTTCGGATTAAATTATATTTATTTAAATTCTAAAACATTAAAGTCAAAATTCAAATCCACATGATTAAAAGTCAAAGACAAAATCAATGTTTTAGTTTTACCGGGGTCCTCAGTATTTTTTAGTTTTGTTGTTTTGAATGAAGCAGGGTCCTTCGTTGAAAATTATAAAATGTAACTTGATAATGACACAATTCATGCCTTTTTTTTCTTCTCTAAATTGGACTAGCACAGAAGGCAAAAATGCATGCATCAAAAAATATTTTTAGAAAAAACGTGTAAAATGAGACATATTATGAACCTTTTACCGACGTTTTGCATTTCATGTTAGGGTATAGTCGAACACAATTTTGACTGAGAAGACGCTAAAGTATTCAATTCAACAATCATAGAGTAAAAATTTCTTCTTTATATATAACTCAATTATGTTTGTCTGACTAGTGGATGTATTATAAATTTAGGATAAGGAGTTGTAATGTCATGGTTGGTGGTGCCACCAACATCCAACATGCCCCGACTGGTCTATTATATTTGATGTACCAACCGGTTACTTACAAGCCACAAGACACAACCATCACTTCTGTTTTGTGCTTTTTCAGTTGTTGTCAGTAGCTCATCAGAATTATCGAAATTAGGGGTGTTCAAAAAAATATAAAAATCGAACCGAATCAAACCAAAAAACCGGTTAATTGAAAAAAAACGGTTCAGTTATGGTTCGAAAAATTCAAAAAAACCAAATTTCTGGTTCGGTTACCGATTCGAGAAAAAATAAAAAACGGTTAATCAAAACCGGTTTTTTGAACCGGTTTTATATATATATTAAATAAAAATAAAAAAATAAAAAACGGTTAATCAAAACCGGTTTTTTGAACCGGTTTTATATATATATTAAATAAAAATAAATATTATATATTAAATAAAAAATAATAATATTTTTAATGTATTGTTAGTAATGGTTTATGGATATGTATGAATGTTTAATTTTTATTTGGATATGTATTATTTATATTTACAATTTAATTTAGGAAAAAATAAAAAAATAAGTTTTATAAAAAAAAACCGATTAATCGCTTTTTTTAAAGCGGTTAACTAAAAAACCGGGTTTTTCTCGTTTTAGTTTGGGAATTTTTTCGAATGGAATAACCGGTTCGGTTAAAAAAAGTGGTTAACCGGTTTGGTTAATCGCTTCTGAACACCCATAATCGAAATTGGCTCCTTTTCTAGCCTAGCTAGTAAATATATTACAAAAAGATATAAATAAGATTAGCATATAGATTATATATACTCCTATTCGATAAGAATTATTATATGATTTACTTAATTACATAAATGATATTATTATATTTCTTAGCAGAATTCCTCAAGAGCCAAAAGCTAATTAATGCAGGTGGTCAAATAATATTTTGTTTATGCTAAGTTGTTGTTTAATAACAGAACCCAACAATACACCAATAAAATCTCTCAACTGAAAATCAAATGTTTGTAAATTGTATAGGAAATACATATACTAAATAATATCTCAAAATAGAATCATGTCCTTAAAAATTAAAAATTAAAATTTTAAGATAAGTAATATTATATTTATACCACTTATTATATCATTTTTATTACATCTTCATCATTTTACTAATAATTATTTTATTATAATATTAAAAATTTAAAATAATTAAAAATTTATATAAATGTGAGATATACTACATCATGATATAATAAAAATGATATAATGAGTGATGTGAATATAGTATTACTCTTTTGAGATAATCCTTTATGTCACTTTAACGTGCTATTAGTTTCCATAGCGGAAAGTCAAATTTACCTAGAAGTCATTTAGCGCACGGGTTTAACCGGAACCAGCCTGGAACCTCACCATGGGAAAACATTCAAACCCCACAATCATTAAAAACTTCAAAAAACGACAAAACATCAAACATAAAACCACTTTGAGTATGCCTGAATAATCTCAAATGATGCTTCCAGGATCTAACATCGAACCTCCAGTGAAACTCCACAGATCTCCTTCAATTTCTTCTCTTTATAAACAAATCGCACACTCCCCATTTCTACTCAAGCTTCTCCTCTTCATTAATTCTCATCTACCAAACTTAAATTTCCAACTTATTGATCTCCTCTTCAGATGGCCTATCAAGACGAAGCTTTTACCTTAGAATATATCAACCAGTACCTCCTCAATGATTGTAGTACTTCCATGGAATCCTTCATCACAGATTTCAATTTTTACACTTCATCCACCAACCAACAACCCCAACAACAAGAACTCAAACAAATCAATTCTCAGAACCATCCAACCCTTGTAAAATCATCAAGTACTTTAAGCCAGAGAAAACCATCTGTAAACGTGACGATTCCTCCAGCAACAAGCTTTACTTCGACCTCCAACAGTCACCCAGTTATGAAAACAGAAGCTGAGAAGGAAAAGCACTACAGAGGAGTAAGGAGAAGACCATGGGGAAAATATGCAGCGGAAATCCGTGACCCAAATAGAAAAGGGAGTCGGGTCTGGTTAGGAACTTTTGAAACCGCCATTGAAGCTGCAAAAGCTTATGATAACGCAGCGTTTAAGCTACGCGGAAGCAAAGCGATCTTGAACTTTCCACTTGAGATTGGGAATTCAAATTCAATTTCGAGTTCCGTGGAGTCTAAATTACAAGTGAATTGCGGGAAAAAGAGGAAGAGTGAAGAGGCAGAGAGTGGTATGGAGAGAAAGGTCGTGAAGAAGGAGGAAGAATTCGAGGAAACGGTGGCGGCGGAGACTATAACCACTGGGGATCATCCTTTGACGCCGTCAAGTTGGAAGGGGTTCTGGGATGTTGGTAACGAGAACGGGGTTTTCAGTGTGCCACCGTTATCTCCGTTATCTCCGCATCCTTGTATGGGATACTCTCAGCTTCCCGTTATGTAACGAACGTTAATTGGATCTATACTAAATTTTGAAATATCGGACGGCTGAGAAATATATATGTACATACTAAGTAGCGATGAGAGTGCAATAGGGAACTAATTAAGTTTAGATGTTATATGTTTGAAGATTAGTTTGAATTTATTCGTTCTTTTCTTAAATTGTGTTTTATTTCATTGATCTAGATATTAACGCTACATATTTTTACTCTAATGATGAGATCATGAGCAAACCCAATACGATATTTAATCCTAAATACATGGTTCAATAATAATGAATAAATTTTTATTATCACTTGTATAAGGCTATAAATAAAATTATGAAAGCATGAGATGGGAAGATTTGCCTAGTAGAAAAGACAACTAAAAAATTAAGTTTCTCTTCAAAATACAAGTAAATTTACGAAAATAGAATTTTGATTAAATATTTTTACTTGTAAAAATATAAAAATGTTTTATTATCATATAAAAGATCTGTTAAGATATTTTTTCTTACACAGAAGGTAAAAAGTCAATAGCGGTGTAAGAATACTATAATACTTAACAATAATTGCATAATTAATTACTTTATTATTAATGTTATCATAAAAACTCTATCCTTTTATATGGTTTGACTAAAAATTTATGTAAATAGATGATAATGAATATGGAAATGTCTATTCATGTTAACTAAAATTTATAAAAGAAATTAGAAATTGATATATAATGTTTAATGAAGTAAAAGAGAAACCCACATATTTATTGGTTGGATAAACTCACATATTAAACATAATATAACATTTTGATAAATATTGTATATCATAAAAAAGACGGCAATAATATCGGCACCAAAAAAGTTTCTCTTTCCCTAAAGATTTTAATTAATTTATGATGTTATCTTTTTTGTACTTACCATAATTAAGTGTAATATTAAATAGGGAGAACACATTTTCCCATCCAATGTTTGGCAAAACGACACTTTCCCACGCTTCAAGTTTTGAAAATGATATTTTCTCACATTTTGTTATATTCTGTTATGTTTTTCATTAATATTTTACTGAAAAGATGAAAATATCTTTAAATATCTAATTTTATAAATTTTTTATTAGCCAAAAGGTCAAATATTAAAAAGTCAAAAAAAAAAAGTTAAAAATAATGTTATGAAATTGTTTAAAGTTAAATGAGATTAATATTTATTTATTTATAATGTCATCAATATCCCATCACTATTATTCAATAATCTACTAAATTTATAATGTTCTTCATAATACATAAAATGTTATTTATTTTTACTAATTAACATAGAAAATCAATATTCTTAATTAATTAAATAAACAAAGGAAGAAAGATATTTTTATACAGTAAAATCTCTTTATGGTAATACTCTATATAAGAATAACCTCCATGTAATCATAAAAACTTCTGGTCCCAACTTGAGTCAGTTATAAATAAGAATAAATTTCTCATTATAATAAGTTATAATTTTTATAGGTCCCGTCTTAAGGAACTTGCCTCTACATAGTAATAATTATATGTATATTGCAAAAAATATATATTATAATACAATAAAGGTTTAAGATAAAATAAAATATTTATCTAAAGTTGTTTGGAACAATAATTTATGCTTTAAAGTTGTTACTACATCATTTATCTTGCAAGTATATAGTAAGCCATCAGCATGAATATCTTCTTGTTGAAGCCAAAATATTTCTAACTCTCAAGCATGTTTAGAGCTTCTTGGCATGAAATTTTTTGTATTTCCGTATTATCATCCTCAAGATTATCTTCTTCCTCTTCTTATCTAATTCCAATAATGATTTATTTTTCAGTTAAAACATACACGACTAGTTGTTCATTTAGATTATTGAGTATTACATTAATATCCATTTAATCAATGTAGTGAAATTGTCAAATCTGATCACTCAATTTTACAGTAACTCTTTGATATCAATTTTCGTGCTATCCTAATGCTACCAAAACAATGAATTGAAATCTTAATACTGCTAAAACATGAATTATAAAATAAAAAATAAAAAAATAATTTTTGTAACTACACCTCTATTAAATTATAACCTCCTTATAATAATAAATTTAATCGATTCCAATATTATGATTATAAAGAAGTTCTACTGTATTTGAACTAATAAATAATTGAATAAAGACTTTGACTTAATTAAATTTTAATTTATAATAAATTATTTAAAAATATTTTTATTTTTTTAGTTAAATATTAACAAAAAATACTAAATGAAAGATAGGATTGTGTCATTTTGAAACTTGATGGATGGAAAACTATAGCTTGGCCAAACCTTGGGTGGAAAAATGTCGTTACAATGATGAAATGCATCATCTTATGTCACTTAATTAAAATTCAAATCTTTTATTTGTACAGATGTTTGGCCCGAAGTACCCTGGAAACAGAATCCTATCAAAACGCAAGGAAAGGACCCACCATTTCAACATTTATTAAATGATGCTTCCAGTTCTATACTTCTATCCAAGATCCTCAACTGTTAACCCCCCAATTTAATGCCCAAGTAATTCCTTTCCTTTAAATACTCAATCTACACATCGCTCTTTTCCACTCAAATCTTCTTCTCTTTCAATTCTCACTCTCTGAAATGGCAACTCCAGATGAAGCTTCAACATTAGAACTCATCAGCCAGTATCTCCTCACTGACTGCTCTTCCATAGACAATTTCATCACCAGTCTCAATCTTTACAACACATCCCCTCAATTCGATTACTTGGAACCAAAAAAGGAGCCGGAACTCGAACAAATCCATACCTACAAACCGCAAGCGCAAGCGCAAACACATGCTCTGAAATCTTCAACTACACTAAGTCAGCGCAAACCGTCTCTAAACGTAACAATACCTCGAGCGACAAACTTCAAAACCAACTCCAACGTTAACCCAGTGATGAAGACGGAAACAGAAGCTAAAAAAAAGCACTACAGAGGAGTAAGGAGACGGCCATGGGGAAAATACGCGGCAGAGATCCGTGACCCAAATAGAAAAGGGGTTCGGGTCTGGTTGGGAACGTTTGACACTGCTATTGAAGCTGCAAAAGCTTATGATAACGCTGCGTTTAAGCTCCGAGGAAGCAAGGCGATCTTGAACTTTCCTCTTGAGATTGGAAGTTCAAACTTTGGGGAATCTGAAATAGAAGTCAGTTTGGAAAGAAGAGGAAAAATGAAGAAACACAGTGTGTGGAGAGGAAGGTCGTGAAGAAGGAGGTGGCTGAAGAGACGGTGACGGAGACCGTTAGTGCGGGGGTTTGTCCGTTGACGCCATCAAGTTGGACGGAGGTTTGGGATGCTGGAGAGGGCATATTTAGTATGCCTTCGTTATCTCCGTTATCACCGCATCCTTCTATAGGACACTCTTGGCTGACGGTTATGTAACGGAGGCGTTACAGTCGGTTGGGTGTTTAGTTGAATATAATAAAATAAAATAAAATAGTGTGATTTGTAGAATTTTATATGTATATAAAGAAATATATTAGGTGCAACTGCAAAGTTGCGATAAGTTTGAAAACTTGTTAATTTATTACATTAATTGGTTCATTTGTTAATTAATATGCTGTTTTTAGTCTTATTCATATTTTTATATCTGGATTTTGGAAGTATTTGATGAATTACTAAAGAATCTATTGTAAATTATTGATAAAAAAAAAAAAAAAAAAAAAAACAACTGCTAGTCTAATGTTTAAAAGTAAATTAAATTTAACTGATCATGGATCATTGTCCATCGGAACTTAAAATGGCCATTTGTATAAAGTTAATAAAACTACATAGTACATTCACAGACAAAATGGTCAAATTCATTGAAAGAAGAAGACTGTCGAATATAAAAAAAAAAAAAAAGTTAAAAATTTGAAGAACTCTTTATTTAAGTCGATGGGAAGAAGGGTGGTGGGCCGAACTATTCTAGGGAACTGACTATTAAAATATTAGACGACTAGTTAATACCTACAAACAAAATAATTTAGGATTTATTCAAAAAAAAATCCTTGACTTTTTAACTTAGCTATTTTCATATTTATAAGAGTAGCCCACATGTTCCCACCTTTGGCAAAATAGAAAGTTTACGCTCATAGTTTCATAAATTCCAAATTCTTACCCTTATATTAACAGAAAATTGTTTAATATAAGGGTCAAAGGGTAAAGTGATCATTTGTATAGTATTAAATCTAAAATAAAAATCAAAATTTTAAAATAACCCTCCACATCTCAAATTTATCTCAAAAACACCCTCTCTCTAAAACTATTTCTTCTCATCTACCATTTCTTTCTATCTCCCTCCCTCAGCCACAACCTCCCATTTCTGTCCCTAACTAGTAGCCATAGCTTCCCCGCTTGCACATACACCTGCGTGACCCAATCCTACTCATGAATTGGTTGGAATAACATCGTTTCTTGTGACCCAACCCCACTCATGAATTGGTTGGAATAACATCGTTTCTTGCAGGGTCGTCTCAAGAACATTTATGACCTTAGGCAAGAATTACTTTAGGGGCCTTCTAATAATATAAGCATATATTAAAAAATTATTTCAAATTTATTTTTCTTGCCTTTTGAGATGCAAAATCACTAATTAAATTTTTATATTCAAGTTTAGAAACCAAATCTTTTTCAATTGATAATATAGCCAAATTACCTAATCGTTCTTGTGACATAGTTGAACGCAAATAAGATTTTATTAACTTTAATTTTGGAAAACTTCTTTCTGCTGAAGCTATAGGAACAGAAATAGTTAACAGTATTCTATAAGTTATCCATACATTTGGAAAAAAATTTACCTTTTTTTTTTTATAAAATCTAGTATCTCAAGTGGTGTTTTAATTTCCATGTTTATAATTTCTTTTAAAACTTTTAATTCTGTATATAAATCTAAACCATCAATATTAGAGAGCATGTCATGTTTTAAAACGTTTTCAAGATTTAAACAATGTTTCTACAAACTATCATCATCAAGCAATTTTATTTTAACTTTTTTATATTATAAATGAAACCAAAATTATTACTATGTATTTCAAATTGTTCAAAAATAATTTGAAGTGAGGAAATGGCATGATCAACTAAATATGGGAAATAATTTATTCTAAAAGATTCTTCAGCAGACAATTTCATCTCTTCGTTTTCATTCTCATCAAATTGTTTTTTTTTTCTCTTTATTATAGGATTTTCATGAAATTTTAGTTTTATATTCATTTACTCTGTAATCTCTTTAGTAGAAATCATAGAAGATGTAAACCCATTTTCTCTATATTTTTCAAAAAATGAAACAAGACCTTTCAACTGATCTGTTGCAACAACAATGTCCATATTTTTAGATTGTAAATATTTACTAATCGTATTAATAGCAAATAACATTTCATACCAAATATTCATGCCTAATAGAAATTCAAAATTTTCAATCTCATATGTTACTAAAGAAATAGCTTCACTTTTTGTTTTAGGATCTTCACTAGTTTCTGCTAATTGATATAAAGCATCTCTTATTTGTGGAGCTTGAAATTTTATTGCTTTAACACTTTCAACACGACTTTCCCAACGTGTTTGTGATAATGGCTTAAGTGTCAAATTAGAAACATGATCTTGCAAAATTTTCCATCGTTTTGTAGAAGAAGAAAATAATGAGTATATACGTTGTGTCACTCCAAAAAATGTAATAGCATTAGTACATGAATTAGCCATATCACAAAGAACTAAATTAAGACTGTGACAACCACATGGTGTATAAAATGCTCTAGAATTTATATCTAATAATCTTTTTTGCACACCTTGATGTTTACCTTTCATATTAGACCCATTATCATATCCTTGTCCTCTCACATTATTTACATCAAGTTCAAGATTTTTTAATATAGTTGTGAGAACATTAAAAAGGCCTTGACCAGAAGTATCATCCACTTTTATAAAATCTATAAAGTACTCTTCTATTTTTATTGGACTTATTGAAATATCTACACATCTTAATATAAGTGACATTTGTTCTTGATGACTTGTATCTGGGGTACAATCAAGTATAACTGAAAAATATTTTGATTCTTTGATTTTTTTAATAATGGTATTTCTTATTTCTAATGCTAAAATATTTATCAACTCATTTTGTATATTATGACCAAGATAATGAGTATGAATTTCTCCATTTTGAATACGTCTAAGGTGTTCTTGCATTATTGGATCAAACTCAGCAATCATTTCAATTAAACTCAAAAAATTTCCATTATTTTCTTGATAAATCTTCTCATTTGTACCACGAAATGCCAAATTATTTTTTGAAAGATTTTTTACAACCGCTATAATTCTTAATAGTACATTCTTCCAATGCTCTTTCTCTTTATTTATTTTCTCTTGTAAATATTTATCAATTGTTTTGTTTTTAAGCAATCTCATCTCAACATCAACCCAAATGTTCATATTTATAACATGATCATTGCTTGTTTCGTGACTCTTAAGCTTGGCACTAAGATTTTTCCAATCTCCACACCCTTCATTTGCTAATTGAATTGTATTTGCTTTTAAACTAAATAATTTACAACAAAAACAAAATACTTTATTTAATTCTTTTGAATATATTAGCCATTTTCTATCATGTTTTTCTCCATTTAGTAATTTTCGAATGTAATGAATTGTAGAAAAGCGTCTAGAATTTTCATCTCTTGGAAAATCTAAAACTTGCCTAATTGGACCTTTCTCAACTAATAAATCACATGAGTTTGTGTCTAAATTGTTCCAGTGTATAGGGTCATAAATATTTTTAATAGTTGTTTCATCTTTATCATTAATATTTTCATTTTTGTCAAATGGAATTTCTTCTTCTAAATTTTCATGAGACTTTACTAGTATTTGATGAATTTGAGTTGTTATCTTTAAAAATTTCTTCACAATTTTCAATTGATTTTTCATTTAAATCTTCATTTGGTTTTTCTAGCATTTAGTGTTTTGTATTAATAACAAATTTATCAAGTGCATCTTTTTGGGATTGAATTAGTTCTTCTATTCTTTTTTTTTTCTTACGTTTTTCAAATCCAGATTCACACTTCCTAGTAGACATCTATATTCAAAGAATAAATAATTTAGAGCTCTTAATATTATTTTGTTAAAATAAAAATAATTATAAAAATTAAGAAGAAACTTTAGCACCTGATTTATGCTCCTGATTTTGCTTTTTGCTATGCTGATACTCAAAAATCTTATATTATTATCCTGCATAAAAATAATAATGTAAATTAGTTATTCACTTGATCAAATATAAAGTAAAATCAATTCAGAATGCTAAGAGTAAAATGATTTAAAGCTCTTAATATTACCTTGCATAAAAATAATAATAATGTAAATCACATCCACTTGATAAATTTACGTAATAAAGATGAGAAATGAGAGACAAGAGATAAGAAAGGAGAGACAAGAGAGTAAACCAAGTTGAGAATAATAAGTAAAAGATGAGAAAACTTTAAGTGAAATGAGGTTTATATAAGAGATTTGGGGGAGAGAGGAGATGTGATTTGACATTTGAGAGTTGGAGAGTTGCATGAAGGTGTTTCAATTTTCAACGGAAAAATGAGCCACCAATTGCATTTTAAGTTTAGAGATAGGCATGGCTGATTGGACATAGGGTGGGATTGATGGGAATTGAGAAATTATAAATATATTAAAAAACTCTTAAAAAAATAATTTTGGGTAAAGATAGACATAGGCGAGTACATGGTGGGATTGATGAGAATTAAAAAATTATAAATATATTAAAAATACTTTAAAAAATAATTTTATGCCCCCTTTTTTACCCCCTTTTTTGGGGGCCTTAGGTAGGGGCCTCACCTACCTAGGGTTAAGCCGAGCCTGGTTTCTTGTGACCTAACCCCACCTATGCGCGACTGTTGTCTCAAGCCAATCTAGCCTGATTTGACATCATCGGTGCCCCGACACCACCAACACACTCCACTTAGCCCACACATCAAAACTCTATCACCTCTACTTGATTACATAGCCAATCGTCAACCATCGCTCTTTGTCAGTCCATGCGATTCAAGCCAAATCTTAGTCAATCTTGCCGTTTTGGAATTCACCTGACACCACCAATTGCATCATCGACACCTACCCCCCCCCCCCCGGCGACCCGAGTTGCCTGTTGATCGCCACCCGCCTCTTCCTTTAGGGTTTTGCATGTTTTAGTGATCTTTTTGGTTGATTGGAGGGTGTTTGGAGTTTTGGAAGGAGATTGATGAGATTTAGGTTTGATGGGAGATTGAAATTTGGTTTGACTGGAGGTTGATTGTGTCCTCATTGCACGTTTGTTGTTTGGTTGATTGTGGGTTGTGGATTGATTGTTGATTTGTTGGAGTGGATTTGTTCGTTTGGGATTTCTAGAATTGATTGGTTGATTTTTAGAGTGTTTGAGTTTATCGTTCGGCGACAGTGGTTGGATGGTGGTGGCAATGGAAGGGGCTGGGTGGTTGGAGATGAGATGATGTGAAGGTTGAAGAAGAGAGTGTTATTGAAATAAATTTGAAAGTAAAATGA